TATATATATATGTATGTATATTAACTTTTAGAAGTTCTTGAAAGCTTTAACATCTGTCCAGACTGTCTATTCAATACTACTTCTGGTAAGTATTTCAAAAAATGCAGTTACCTTAAATTTAATATTTTTTTCTGTAATACACATTTTTAGCTTAAAGTGTTGTTGAAATACTATTTTTTAAAAAAAAAGCTTTCGAAGAAGTTTTCTTTCCTTTTTTCATTAATTAATAGTGTTTTTGGTATTTTAAAATACATTTTAAGTTATGCATGCTTGGTATATTCAGCACATAATATAGCAACCTATTTTAATTTATACTGTCAATTATTTTTATTCTATTTTAAGATTAGTATTTTGAATGCGTTTAGTATAGAATTATATACTTAATAGACTCGAAAAACATTTCATACTCTCGAAATAGAATGTAGACAATAATTTACAGTTTCTATTGTAGTTTGTATGTTTTTCATCCGAACAATTTTTTCCCCTTCATTTTTAATATAAATAAGTTTCTGTTAACGGTGTCTTTTTTTCAATTAGGAGTTATGGAAATCCTAAATATTTGTCCGAACTGTCTTTTCAATTCAACTTCCGGTGAGTATAAAAAAATACTATTCAATTTAAATTTACATACATTTCTCCTTACGGTAAATTCTAACTACATATTATATAGATTACAATTAAATTGCAGTAACTTTCTTATTATTATATTATAGCAAGTATGTGAAACTTTCATATTATTACATTATAGCAAGTAAGATTGTTTCTAACCTAATATTTATTTCCGAAGAATATAGTGTGAAAAAACAGGATGTTAATTAGAAAATATAATGTAGATGAAAGGACAGTTTTATGTGCGATTCTTCAAATTATATCAGGAGTCTTATATATGTCATTGTGTCGGAAGACTTCTAAAAATATAATTTTTAATTTCTGAAACATTCAACTAAAATGCAATACATTGCCATAACATTGCTTTTTTTATAAAAAAAAATTGGTTTATTCCTGATTTCAATGTATTTGCAGTTAAATTTTTCAAAATTTTTATTTTTTACTTCGTTTAATTTGTATTTGGTTTCAAAAATAATTTTGAGATAATATTTTTTTCTTACAGAAATGATGAATACGATCTACAATCGGGCGATTGAAATTGAATCATCATCAGGTATTTTTTCTTCTGGAATGTGATATTAATTCCTCCCAAAATCAATATAAACGTGATATAATACTAGCTAGTACATTTAATTATACTTATAAAATTATCGCATTTTCTACTAATCTCTAAGAATTTAAATACAAACAAAAACTATTTTTTTGACAATTTAAAACTTTTTAAAAATTTCACGTTTTTACATTATTTTCAATTAATTTCTCAAATGTCTGTAGCTTATGTTTTGCAAAAGAATTTTTTTTTAAACTAATAACAAAGCAAACTTCTAAAAACGAATTTAAATAATAATGTTATTATTCTACTGTTTTCATAAGGCTTGATAAATCATTTCATATTTATATATTATAGTTTTCTTTTCTAATTCATAAAATAATCGTAGGAAAAATTAAAAATTCTAATTGTCCTTCAACTTTTTGTAGTTGCACGTCAAAAATTTTCCTTCAATTAAAAACCCATTTCCAGCTTAACTCTCTTGCCATAACGTAAAGATAAAAAAAATTACATAAATAGTTTTAATATAAAACCTAACAATTTAAATATGGGAAATTCAGAAAAATAAATAAAAGGGTTATTTTGAATTTTTGAAATCTTAACTGTATGTATTACTTTTCTCAAGTATGTCTTACTTTTCTTTCTTACTTTTTATATAAACTATAATCAATTTTAAAATATTATAATAATAGTATAATTCATAGTAATAACATTTTCGCATTAATTGATGTATGTTAAAGAATTACTGAAGCAAAATCCGTATTTCTTATAAATAATTTCTTGAATATGATTTCAAATGTCTTAAACTGAAACAAGAAGACAAAAGATAGCTGTTAAATTGATACTTTAAAACTCTGCTTTCCTTTTTTTCAGAAAAATATGGCAAGAGGCCTGTTGTAATACATAAAAGCCCGTTAACGTTTGGTAAGTTTTCTTTATCTATTTAAAATTTAAAAATCAGGAAAATACATTGGAAATTTTTCTGTGAAATATTTATTTTAACAAATACATTTTAAAATGGTGACTTCAGATTATATGTAAAATATGAAGATTTCATTATTTTTTTTAAACCTTTCATTGTTTATTATTCTTTATTTTTACTGGCTCAAATTAATGTTTTTATCAAAAGAATAAATTTTTAATTAATTATGTTTGATTATTCTTATTTACTTTATTTTTAGAGGTAATTCAAGGTCTCTTAAATGGAACATATAGAATGATATTTAGCACTAAAGATAGTAAGTCAAAAATATTTTTAATATATACCTAAATATTAATTATATGGAAGCCAAATTAACAAATTTAGTTTGAGATAGCTTTGAACAGAACATCTTAGACTATGGGTCATGGCCAAAAAAAATTTTGTTGTTAAATTTGAAGAATGTGTTAAATTTTTTGAATTGAGGAATATGCTAATTTTTTTTTAAATATCCATCTATTCAATCATAGTATGTTATTATTTTTAAATTAGTCATTTTTTTGCAATGCTTTCAAGTGTTCAGTATTTAGCAAATTATATTTGTTTTCTAACTGTTTATATATTTTCGTCCTCTCAAGTTTTCGTAAAATAAAAAGAAAATGTTAGCTCCAGTGCCAGGCATACTTTTTGTTTTATCACAAAAATTGGCATCGAAATAAAATTGACCCATAAAAAATTCTTTGATGTTTGTAATTATGGTAATATTTTAGAATGCCCTTTGAAATTATTCTTGTTTTTAGTTTTTTTAATAAGGAAGCTTTGTTACTATTAAATTATTTTTTTAAAGAAAATATGTAGCGCATAGAAAAATTATACAAAAACGCGAAATAAAGCAAATTATTCAGAATTACTTCATCCGGTTTAAACTAATTTGCGTAATTGTAGTTTAAAAGATTTGTATACACTTCAAAAAATTCAGAATCAAATTACGGTAAAAAATAACAGCACTAAGAGTGCCGGTACTTTTAACAGTGAAATCCATTTTTATTGGATCATGTTATGGAGCAAAAATTCTTATATACTGTAAATTTACAGTAATAATTACAGTAAAATCTCTAAATCACTCGAATTAATTGAATATTACTGTGAAATCTGGGATGTAATATTTTACGGAAAAATGGCTTTCATGGATTATGCACCCAAAGTGCCAGTATTTTATGCCGTAATTTGATTCGGAATTTTTTAACGTATATAAAAATTAATCAAATTAAATAAATTATCTTAACAGTTAAAATTGATTTTTTTTCTAGTTAGGTATGAAAAACCAAGAAAACGGCCGGTTGACATTCGTAAAAATCCATTCACTTTTGGTAAGTAAATGCTCTCATATATTAATGATCTAAAAGTAATAAATGTTACGAATACTAGGACGCATCAATAACCTCTGTTTGGAGTTATTTTCGTAATTGCTTCTTTTTTCGATTTCAGAAATAATTAAAATGGTATTAAATGGTACCTATCAATTACCATCAGATACAGAATCAGGTAATTATTTCTTAACCGTACCTTTTAAATATGCTTAGGAAGTAATTATAGAAAATATTTTATGTGTATGGAAAATATTATAGATATATTTTATGTGCTGTGATGCCACAATAGACATTAAATATTTCCTAGCTTTTAAAATTTCGTTAATTTCTTAATATTTTTAATCATTCTTAATCGAATTTTAATTAAATTATTCAATTTTATTGAATTTTGTAAGAAAAAATATAAAATATTTTTTTTATTTTCCTAACAATCAATCTAATGACTAACTTTATATTTCAATACTAGTGTAAGACTCATTAGTTCACTGTCATGACTAAATCAAAAACGAAAATCTTTTTCTATCTTTATTCTTTATTTCTTAGTACAGAAATATTTCAGTTACATGGTTATACTAATTTTCACAGTCTTTTTGGCGATTCGCTTTCACCAAAATATTTTCAAATTAATTAGGCGGGTTCGCTTTATTTTGTGGCTATGTAATCTTTCGAAAAATCGCGAACAATAGCTCTCTTCCCACACTTCTAACTGTCCATTTGGAACAATTCATTTACTTTTAATTTCAAATGATTAGCTGTTGGACTGGGAGCCTTTGGGCCTCTCAGTTCTTACCATTGAATAGATATATTTTTTTCAAAAAATAATTTTATGTGAAGGGTAGGATTTTCTTCATCCCTTTGAGGTACTTCTTTTCTCTATTTTTCATAATTTTGTAATGTGGTCATGTCCAATTTATCATTCGGACAATAAATTAATTTTTCCTAAACCCTTATATTCATTTCTCAGGGATGAACATCCTTGCATAATATCTAAATTTAGATGCATCTGAAGCGATCATAATACTTCAATTCTACAAAAAACTACATTCCACTAACCACTATGTACTAAGAATATGGACTAAAACTGCCAATACATCTGCACAGAAACTTTTGTGAAGTTTTCTAAGATTAAGAATATAACTTTTCCAACCATATAATAATGGTTTAAAATATTCTGTTCATAATGTTATTCAAACTGAGTTTTCCTAACTTTTAAAAATAATTAGGGTTATTTTTTAAAAAAAAAAAACATAATTTTTTTTGTATATTAATTTGAAGACTTAAAACTTTCATTTTAAACATAAAATACTTCTAATACTATGCATGTTTCGTAACCCATGTAAAAAATATAATAAACGTATTGTCTCAAATTTAATAATTATAACATGATGCACTTAACAGCATGCTAGCGCGAAATGCTAACTTGTGTCCAGGTAGGTAACGAAAACAGAGGAAACTACCTCCTTTAACTTATTATATTATCTTAACTTTCTGTATTAATTCTATGTATTAATGGTTAAAAACTAAAAAAAAAATTTAATTACATTGAAAAAGTAACCAAACAATAGTTCAATTATTAAACTAAATAATATAATTGATTTCTTGATAATATAATTAATTTATGGCTTGAAACAGTAAAACACAGAATAAAATAAATATAATATTTTTTTATTTATTTCAGAAATAATTGAATTGATATTAAATGGGACTTATCGAATGCAAACCGACATTACATTAGGTATGTGTTTATCTAGTAATTTAGTTTTCATCTTAAATTCAATGATTTTAATTGTGAAAACGCATACACTCTACAATGGATATGAGGAAAATTTGTATATTTATCTATGATTAAGGAAACACTAGCTTTCAGATGCATTTCTGATATTTCAAAATAATCTCTAATCATATCTATTGAAATTATCATTTGAAATTTTAAAAATACGCAGTGTTAATATAGAACTATATATTCAAAAGAATTCATAAATATGTCTGAGTTTTTTTCAACTATAAATCAATGTACTTTACATACTTAAAAAAAAGCTGCTGTTCTCTTTCTAGATAGGTTTGACCCAACAGGAAAACAGCCGGTTGTAATTCCGGAAAATCCATTAACATTTGGTAAGTTCTGTCATGTATTAAGGACAAGAAATTTGAAAATATTACAGTGTAATTAATGTAAGTAATAATATTAACAGAATAGAAGTATTCAATTTAGTATTCAATTTTCTGTTTCAGAAATAATTAAACTGATATTAAATGGTACTTATCAAATGATAACAAACGCAACATCAGGTAAGCAGTTTCAACTATAGTTTTTAAGAATTTTTTTATCAAGAAATTACTCAATTTGCCTTAAATAATATATAACGATTTCATTTATATAAATAGATGCTTACAAAAAGAGATTGTGAAAAATTATATTGATTTTGATTTGATTTTGATTTAATTAAAGATATGTTTGACTTGAAATACATATACTAGAAATACATAGATATAAAAACCCCTAGAGACATAATTTTTACAGAATAAGAATTTTCGTAGAAAATTCAATTCTAATGTATCTTAATAATAATTAATTAGTGTGGTGATAAATAATTTTGAATGAAAATTAAGCAAAACGAAAGAAATTACTCCGAATCTAAAGAGAAGTCGAAAATCATGCTTTTATTTTATCACATGCTGGTAGGATTCATTTAAGAAAAACATTTATGCTTTATGATTAGTTTAAAATGATTTTCATTATATACGAATTGTTCTTACAAAGTATTTTGAAAATAATTTGAATTTTCCGTTGTCTGTTACTAAAATTGAAATAAAGAGTAATCAATATTAACAGTCACCAGTAGCTGGACGTAAAATAATAAGGATAGTTGATTGCGTTAACTCGCTTAAACGTGCCAAATGCGAGGATGAGTATTAGAACAGAGCCAAGTCAGCCATTTTCTAGTGTCATGATATTTTATGTACGATGCTGTTATATGTTAATGACCAAATCCTGCTATTTTCTTTTAAATTTGCTTCATTTAATGGATTTATCTGGATCGACATTAATAGTTTGTTTTTGAAGAGTGAGCAGTAAAGACCAATCCTGGCACAGACTTTCAAGCATAAACATTATAAAAAAAGACTTAAATACTTAAGATAACTTTAAATATTAATGTTCATTATATTCTTTTAGTTAAAAAAAATCATTTCAATATTTTGTTTCTATTAACAACTAACATGAGAGTGTCATTTAATTACACCATATTTATTTAATAATAATATTTATTAATAATATTTTTAACACCGAAAATGGCAAAAACCAAAATCAATAATTAATTAGAAATTAATGTCAATTGTGTTTCCGTTTATCGTTTAGAGGATATGACTTTACTTTTCAAACGTCCCATTGAGATTTCGAAGCTAAATTCATCAGGTAAGTAGATTAAATTGTGAAAAAGATGATTTTTTATGTGATATAAAAAAATTATGTAAACTAAATAATTTTACACGTTTTAAATTTTTTAAACATTAATAACGTGGTATAAACGTATTATATAATATCATCGAATTCAAATCAATAGAAAGTAAATTTACAATTGTAATTCCGTTTTATTTTTGATGTCACAAGTATATTTTGATATTTAAAAGATTTCAGAAATATTCGGCATCATTTTTGCTCTAATTAGGATGATTTTATAAGGCTGGAGAATAAAACATTCATTTGAATTTCTCTTAAGTATTTGTTTAATTTTATGCAATTGGAGTGTGAAAAATAATTATAATTAAAACTTAAAAAGGTATCTGTTTTAAAGAAGAAAAATATCATCTCTATTCTGAAATGATTGTCATATGCCTGTTAACTTTAAGGTAGTATAAACATTAGTCTTTGCAACTTGTAAAATTTAGTGATCTAATATCCATCTTTCTGCAAAGATCTATACAAATGTTGGCCTATGCTGATGACAACGATGTAGTTGTCCGAACGAAACGGGATGTGGTAGAAACGTTTATGGTCCTTAAAGATACAAAAAAAATTATGGGCCTAACAATACGAGAGGAGAATAGATAAATTTATGGTGGTCAGCAGCACTGTACAAGATGCGCAATCACTCAAGATTGGCAATTATACCTTTAGCGGAGTCACCCAGTTTTAATACTTGAGCACACTTATTACCAATGAAAATGAGTTAAAAGTAGAAATTGGAAACTGGATTTTGATGGCTAATGAATGTTGCTTTCGTCTAAGGAGTCAACTAAAATTTAAATTTATCTCCATGGGTTCTAAATGAAGTTTATAGAAACACTTATTAGACCAATTATTTTGCATGGCAGTGAGAATTGGGTACTTAAATAGCAGAAGAAAGTAGATTACTTGCTTTTGAAATAAAGAAAAAAACTTTTGTCAATTTTCGAGGCAGTGACGGGAAATAATACTATTCAGTTTGAATAACCATGAAGTGCATAATTGAAATAAGCAACAGAATATTTTGAGAGCTCTTAAGTGATACAGGATACGATAGTTTTTCCACCGTGAAGACGCAGATCGAGCTAAGAAACTAGCATTTCAAAGACAACATGCAATGATTGCATTGTGTGGGAAAGTATGTGACGAAAGAACCAGGGTAGGAAAAAACCTGAAAGTTTTGTAAGTGAATAGATGGAGAAATTTGACTACAAGTGGAACTGTCTGGAAGAGACAGACTGAGAAAGTCTTTGCCTGCACTAGGCTGTAGTGCTGTTAAAGAAGAAGAACATCCATCTTCAGATTCAAAATTATTTTAAAACATAGAAAAATAAGCGTAACTTTTACTATTAATCTTTCACCAATCAAATATAAATCTCTATATTTTTTGGAATCTAAGAAAATTAATTTAATGGATTCTTAATGAAATTTTAGTTAATATTTGCGAAATTATGAGGATGAATCTAAGTACTAAACTGTCAAAAGCGAATTTTAAAAAAAAATTGTTGAAGAACAAGTTCTATTCCCTTGTAGCCTGCGTTAGGCAACAAATATTTTGCAGAAATTAAAAGGTAGTAACCAAGAGGCATTATAAATAGAAGAAATATGTATAGTTAAAATAATATTTTTCTGTAAAAGAATTTAGTCTTAATAATAAATCTTATTTTTTCATTTGAAAATCAAATTGGCAAAGTCTGCAACTTATTCATCAAATCATTTAACTGAGGTAAATAAATATTTCTGAGCTTATTTAAATTCAGTTTCTAATAATAGTTATTAGAGCACATAAAACTAACATAATTTAAGTAATCAAATGCGTATGGATATGCAATTCATCACAGAGAAGCTCATCTTATGACTGGACGTGACATATGATAACACTTCCGGTCATAATTTGCTATGATATTCTCAATTCCTATCAGATGCCTTTTTCTTAATTTTGAATGTACTTAATCACTTTCTTTTAACTTCTCAAAATTTCAGTGCCTAATTTCTAACAAATTTAAAAGATTTCTTTCAAAACCATCTTAAAGCTTTCATTGATTTTAATTTGAAATAATTTCTTACAGCAAAGGTTTCAAATTAAAGTATTAGAATTCAATATTTTATTAAAAAAAGCTTTTTGGTTTTAAGCATTTAAAAAAATTAATGCAGATGTTTTACTTGATTACAGGAGAAATAACTAAACAACCCGTTATAATTCACGAAAGTCCATTAACATTTGGTATGTACAGTATGTTTTAATTGTTATAACAGAATTTTTTAATGTTTGATGCTTTTAGGTATTGAATAATTAAAAAAAGTATTCCATTTTTCTACAGTGCTCCATTCACAATTTATACTGATATCTTTTCAAACTTTGACGGAAAAAGAATTTTAAAAAAGCATATAGTTGTCATTATTAGAATGTCTGTCAAAGTCAAATTATTTTTCACTACAAGTACACAATATTGTTATATATCTGGAAAAAAAGTAGTTGCATTAAATAATTTTATTTTAAATGCACTATATTTTCATGATAAGAGCAACATTATTTTCAATGCTTTTAAATGGAAAATTAAATGTTTAATTTTTAACATAAATTAGAAAGCATTTAAACAAGTGTGTAATTTTCAATCTAAGCTTTCTATGGATTTTTTTTTAATTTAACTCTATATCTAGCATTTTATAAAACTCAAATTAAACTGTATCACGAGACTATATTGTAATTTGTGCAACATTGAAGAAACACAAAAATATTTTTAAAATTTGTTTTAAAAAAAATAACAAGGGTGACTGAAAAATATTTCACCATATTTATTTTGGAAAACAAAAAAAAAATACTTTCAAACAGGGAGATCATAAGAGTTAATTCTCCTAAATTTCCAGTCTAAGAAAATTGTGGTAAGTATTGCGCATTAACTTAACACTCAGATGATCTAGTATCCATCAATCTGAAGTTGAATGGCTACCATCCATGGCCACCATCTACAACCAGCAACCATCGAGAATAGAACCCGGCTCTTCACAAAAACAGCTCTAAGCCTTAACTATTGTGTTGTTACGGCTCCACTTTAGGAAATGACTGATAGTAATAATAGCACATTTTCTTTTGTTTTAAAATAACAGTAGGATTGTGAATCAAACACTTATTTTAAAAATATTTTGTTCATTCATATTAGTCGTATTTGTAATACATTTTCTACTTAACGAATATTTTAGATTCTTTAAATTGCAATCAACAGCAAATAAAAATACAGAGTAAAAATTTTTTATAAATTATCTTAAAAAGCTAATCTTTTTAAGGGGGAAGAAAAATTTTTACAAATCAATTTTACGATAAATTAGTCATTTTAAATTAGAATGAAAATCCTATTTTATTATTTTTTTCCAGAAATACTTGAAGGCCTTTTGAATGGTACTTATAGAATTGTGACAAACAAAACGGCAGGTAAGAACATTTTAATTTGTACATTTATATTTAAGTATGAATACATTTAAGTTAGGGCATTCATAAAAGAGTCAGATATTTATTTTTCTCATATTTTAAGCAAAATTTAATTTTTTTCCTGTATTATACTAAACGAAAAAACATATATAACAAACAAAATTTAAAAAAGAAAAGCTCTTTAAAATTATATATACTTTTCATTATATGACTCTTTCTAAAATATAGATAAAAACTTAATATTTTTCTATAAAATATAAAATATTAATAAAGATTCATTTTACTTTCTAAATTTTATCATTTTTTTTTAAATTAGTAGCTATTTTAGCTATCATTTTTTTTTAATTTTTCATATTTCGTTATCACTTTTATTATATAGTTATACTAACACATTTAAAACTTTATTCTTCTGTAAAACATTTTTTCTCTTGGAAATAATTTTCTTTCTTTCAGAAGTTATGAGTGTTCTGTTTAAACGGCCCATAGAAATCGATCCAGGTAATAGTGTAAAACGTATTCTAACAAAATAACTTATACAAGGTGCTAAATCAAGACCTGAACAAATTTAAATAAAATAAAGTTTGCACTTTAAAGTTTTAAAATCATTGATGTTTGTTTTTGAATGCATTTTTATTAAGTCTGATCTTGATCGAAAAATTATTGTGACAAATAAAATATATTATTTTGATTTTTTTTTCTTCATGAAAGGACTTTATAACCCCCTTCAGAAATTCTATTCTCTTAAAAATATAATAAACTTAGGAAACAATCGAGATTCGACACCGAGTCACTTAGTGAATAGACCTTGAACACACCTAGATTAAAATCAACATTAAAAGGCTCACAGTGTTGTCCACTCATCTGACTTAACTATTAGGGCCAACACTATGAAGGTCCTCTAAGCGTTGACTCATAGCACTTTAAGATTCAGAAATCAGGATTCTTCGAAAAAGTGGAAAGTTTTAGCGTCAAATTTCGAAATTTAATACACCGTTTTCACTAATTAATGATAACAGTTATTACGAGCGTGCGTTATTAAGATTTTATGTTGGACTGTGAAAATCCACACAGCAAAAAAAAATTACGTTCAAATATCACAAAACTTTCCTCAATTTTGACGAAACCGTTTCCTGTTACATGCTCCGATCTAAAATTTCGTAAAAATAACGAAATAACTATCGTCGATTCTGCAAGGAAACGAAATTTGTCGAAATTAAAAAAAATACTCATTTTAATTTTTTCAGAATAAAACTCATAGTGCAATATGTATATAACTTTCCTAATAATCACGTAAACGTGGGCACCATATAGGTGGCAAAATACAACAACGACAAATAAAACAAAGAGATAAACTACACCCATGCCCGAGGCAGGATTCGACCTCTGTATATTTCTCTAGTGCGAGACCAACTCCTTGTCCACTATATGGAACGGTTGGCTTAATATTGTAACCGTCGTTGAACAGCCGACCCAATTTTTGAGTTTACGATTAGAAATAACAAGCTTAAGCCCGTCCCGCCCCCGTAAGGGGGCATCCGGGGGCACTCCGAAAGTTCGAAGTGAGCGTAACAGTTCAATTACATGAGCAAACATATTCAAANTTTTGAACCCTCTTCAGAAGACAAAGTAACTCTAGGATCAAGTATCGAGAAAAATTTTCCTTCGTGGGGGACTTTTTGATGGAAATAACACGCAAATACGTTGCATCGATAGGAAAACCACGATAACCTCCCACTGTTACCCTGAGTGGCAAGGGGACTCTACCCCATGATATGTCTACAACTGAGGATATTTTTCGCACTGTGTTCGGTGCAAGCTGGATTAGGAATTCGTATAGACCAAGTCACGTGATTTCGTGATGAAATGATTCTCAAAATTAACCAACTACTGTTCAAGGATTGTGGAATAGTCAAAAGTGAGAGTTTTATTTCTGAGAGCGTATTCCTTAGACCAATCTCTAACCACGTGTTTTGTCTATGTTCCACTCTGTATAGCTGCTTTCTAAAATGAAAGATTGATGCTCAGAAATAACAGAACAAATATATTTTAGGGAAACATATTAAATGTAAATTTCTCAAAATGAATTATGATATGCCTAGACCGTGTTAAATTGTTTGAGCAGACATTTATGCTATGTTTTATTTTATTATTTCTGCTGTAACAAATCAAGCTGCATTAAAGAAACAGTTCTTTTATATAATAAAACATTTATTTGTTAACCACACATATACTAAAGAAAATTTAAATTGAGATACCCCTTGCAAAATAAATGGAGAACCCGTATACGGGTTAGTATGAACCTTAAATTTATGGCAAAAACTTTTCTAATCAAAGATCAACAGCTTTCTGGTGTTCCATAAATTATCTCGTTCTTATAATTTTTATTTATTTCGTTATATGCTTTTTTCATGCTTTTGTCAGCCAAATATTTGTAAGACTATATGCCGCATTTGCTAAATCATGGAAAGTAATCTTTAATTTGTTTTCAAATTTCGAATTATGTGTCATATTATTCTGTTGATAAGTACTTCATTTTCACACAAAATATAAACCAATTACTCATTTTTCATTTTTTACTCTTTTTTCCCCAATCCCTTACAATTTAAATAAACGTGTAATAATTTTACAAATAAAAATGGTTATTTTTCTTTTTCTTTCAGGAATGTATGGAAAACGACCTATTATAATTCGTAAAGATCCTTCAACTTTTGGTAAGCGTTATTAAAAACCTGTAATAGCATTTCAAATTTAATTCTTAATTGAATTACTTTACATCTCATGTTATATATCAAATTTAGAAATTCTTCAAAGTCTAAACATTTGTCCCAACTGTCTGTTCAATACAACGTCTGGTAAGTATTAAAACTGTAATTGCATAAAACTATGAGTTACATTTAACACAAAAAAAAACAGTGTTTCTAAGAAAATTACCTTTCTGGCTATTTTTTATTGGAGTATGCTTAAGAAGTTGTTATAATTCAAAAATTACATATATGAGTTATAACATAAAACATGTTACCATGATAAAAAAAGAATGAGATAACACCAGAAAATTAATTTGTAACAAAAATATATTAATTTGTTTTAAGCCTATCTACGTATCTAATACTGATACAAGTATTGTGTATGCATAAATGGAAATAACACTTCAAGATCAAAATGATTTTCAATTAAATGAACAATTATTATAAATGACTTTTCCCTTTTATATTGTTCTTAGATTTTCTTCAAAGTGTGAACATCTGCCCTAACTGTCTACCAAATGCATCTTCCGGTAAGTATTAAAAAATAATGTTATTCTTAAAGTTAAACTTTAAATTTTTCTTTTGTAAATTTTAAAAACTAATATGAAAAATTGCATTTTAGATGAGAAATACGTTTCAAAAAATTATTCCTTCTATGTATATATTTTTAGATTTTCTTCAAAGTTTGAAAATTTGTCCTAACTGTCAATCGAATACAACTTCCGGTAAGTATTACGAATGATATTAATCTTAAAATTAAGAAAAGTTAAAATTGAAACTTTCCTTAGGTTACTTTTAAAGTATATAAGAAATATTAATATAAAGTATTAATATCAACAAAAATATATTAATATTTTAGTTGAGTAATATGTTTTAATGAAAATACATAGATTTTTACCAAACCAAATATTTCCATGAATTACAACATGAAAAACGTCGTTCAGATACTTAGCTTTTAAAAAAGCCAAAGAACCTTTTATATGGAATAATTATAACTATTCATCAATATATTCCGTCATGAAATGACCTAATTATAAAAAAAAGATATTGCAATTATTCAATTTACACACACACACACATATATATATATATATATACATATATATAATCTGTAACTTAAAATGCTTTCTCAATTTCGAAATGATTCTCAACAGCGTATTAATAGAAGGGAACCAACAACTTCCATTAAGAAATTTATTTCCTTTATTTCCTAAATTTCAATTCTTTATTTTTCAGAAAAATCTATTTAANAACTTAAAATGCTTTCTCAATTTCGAAATGATTCTCAACAGCGTATTGATAGAAGGGAACCAATAACTTCCATTAAGAAATTTATTTCCTTTATTTCCTAAATTTCAATTCTTTATTTTTCAGAAAAATCTATTTAAAAAGTAGTTACATACATTATTAAATAGTATTTTTTTTCTACTGTTGCTCTGAACAGTTCTTATGATAAGAACCTTCTTTCTTTATTTCTATGTTTGAATGACAGATTCCATTGTTGTTCCTTATCTATTTCTCTCTCCTGGGTGATACCATGAGTTTATAGTGATAGTCTTTTATTTTTATTTCCATGTGACAATTTGAGATATTTTTGACGGAATATTAATATATTGCTTTATTTAACCCTTGATCTCATACTGTAGTCTAGTTTTAACGTGGGTTTTTAGCCTCCTTTTTAAAAAGTGATTTTTCTTTTAAAATGTGTTCTGATTTTATCATTAGTTTTCTTGTTGTTTGGTTTACCAGCCCCTTGGTTAGGGTTTTCAAGTTGCGGTATCACTTTATTGATTTAAAACTTCAATAAAGCTTAAAAACATGTAAAAAAGATATTCCTAAAAAGAAAAAGAAAAATATGTCTCTCTGATGAGTTATGGAAAGTACATTTGCTTCCGAAGGGCTGGTTCTTAAATATTTCGCGTATGCTTTAAATTTATAAACCTTAATTTTTTTGTCATAAGAACTCTATTTTTATAAATAACAGGACACATAACTTAAAATATATTGGATACGTTCCTTAAAAGATTTAATAAGAATTTTAAATGATATGAACAGATAGTTCTGATATAAACTTGCTGTTAAAAATCTAAGACAGGACTGATAAGAAGAAATTGAGAGATAACATATAAAAAGTTCCTTTGCAAGTAAATCAATAGATTTTAATAAAGTACAAATAATCTAGTTTTCTCTGATATATTTTTCTTCATTTTTTAGGAAGATTTGGTAAACGACCTGTTGTAATCCATAAAAGTCCATTAACGCTTGGTAAGTTATCTTAATTTGTGCAAAAGAACTGAAGAAAATAATTATTTTTAACGTTATCCAGTAGGTTACTAATATTGTCCTTTTATGCCTGTAACACAATTATTATCAGAAGATGTTAAATATACATTTATATTCATGAAATTCTTACTTAAAATTATTTAAATTTTAATTTTATTTATTTATATTAATTAATGGTTAATCTTTACGTTCTACTCAATCTGAAACTGATAAATTTTAAAAATCATGTGTAATTAAATTAAATTCATTCACAATTCAATCAACGCAATTTTTCAACATTATTTTGTCATTAGTAGTTCTAGAATAATTTTCAGATCTCTTTATTTATTTTAGAAGTGCTTCAAGGTCTCTTAAATGGAACGTATGTAATGATATTTAATACAAATGAAAGTAAGTATATACTACCAATAGCTATTAATTTTAAAGTAAAAATAATTTTTACAAACACCAAAAAAACTTTTTAATCCTATATTTGTTTTTTTAAAACGCTTCCGGCATTCCGAAAACTTTGTGCGCTTCTGATGCGTATGTTCACAAGAGATACTTCATACACAAAAATTATGAACAGCGGATTTTAATATGTAACTCTGAGTTAGCATTTGTCATTATCTGTGCACAAGTTAAAACCTCTCCATTGGTCAATTCACTATCATTATTATTCACATGGAAAATTGTATAACGAAATTTCTACCGTATAATAATCAATATAAATAAAGGTTTGGTAAGTGATATATCTTATTTCAAGGTGATTACCGACAAACCCTCACATAACAGTCAGATTTGTTTGCCTTGTTTAAAATGTTAAATAGATTTTCTCACGTTAAATCAATCGCTTTCTACTGCGTATCTTGAAATGCAACAGACCATTTAAGACAACCCATTTACATCTTTGAAAATGGTGCCAATGGAGAGTTTCAATTCAGGCATGCGACTTTTTAAAGCTCCAACAATGTTCACAGATCCGACTGCCAATTTGTTTTTGGCATAATGATGAGCCCCAAGCAACAAGTGATGATTGTACTTATACCGAAGAGTACTACTGGCTAAATATGCCCTTTTTAAACTAGTGGTGTTATTTTAATGAATTATCCATTGCTTTTTCCCCGAAAAGGAGTTTGATGGAACTCGAGAAAAGAAGCACGTCAATGAGTCTAGATTTGCTCGCTACACCTGTCAATCAATTACGTCAATCAATTATGGTCAATCAATTATGGTCAAATTATGGTCAATTCCTGTCAATTATGGTCAATTACTGTCAATCAAGTATGGTCTAAACTACCAGAGTATGATAATTTTATCATACTCTGGTAGTTTTGAACATATTTTTTTCTTTGTGCATAAAAATACACTCACTAATGTAGAAAATTCATAAATTGCTTTATACAAAAATTTAATGCTCGTCTCGAATCTGATAGAGAATATTTTTTTTTGGTTGGAACTGTGCAAGTTGTCCCAGGGATTCATGAGTAATACTGAGAAGGAAGCGGTAGACTTGTAGTGAAAGGAAGACACGTCTGCAGTTTAATTTTTAACATTACCTTACAGTAAACCTGTGAAAATAACTAGTTTTCCTCTAAAAAAAATTATAAAAATGTTCAAATGATTTTTAGAATCTGAACCTATAAATTATCCCACGCACGCGTTGCATAAATTTTAACATGGTAGTTTAAACAATACTTTCTAACTTAAACATAAATAGGGGGAGAAAAACTCTTCATTTAATAGATGAAACTAAGTAAATTTTAATATAATTTAATTAAATAAGTGATAGTGTTCCAATGAGTAGTGTGGAAACAAATAATGTGTAACAAAATTATTTACAAAAAATATACAGAGAAAGAAATATTTACAATTTTTAAGCCGGAACTTATTTTAGTAAAGAGATTTGCACTTTTCATTAAATGTCGCGTTAAAAAACTGCAGTTAGTGATGAAGTAAACTAATACACTTTCATTTTAAGTATAACTAATATGAATGAACGAAAGTTGCCTTTTTCTGTTTCAGTTCTAATTCGAGGCCGAAATTGATGATTCAAAATTAAAAATAAGAATCATGTATATGACTTGAAAATTTTGGTGGTTGCTATGAACCTGGTAAATTGGTATACCGTATAGATGCAAAAGTGGCGATATGCTTATTCTTCGGTTCTTTCGGTTCTTCGGTTTAGCAGAATAAATTTTTAATTTGAAAAATATTTTGTCACCAAAACGGAAAAGCATTTGCAACAGGGGCAAAATGTTCATTAAATAAGTTCAAAATAAGCATTTAAGACAAAATGGGCAAGATCTCATGCAAGAGGCGTGCAATTGATCAATTACAGAGGCGTGCAAATTTCAATTGAAAGAGAATCTGATTAAAAAATATGTCGAAAGATTATTTCAAACGTTTTACTAATATAATGTGATCAAATATGTTATTGTTACAAATACGTTAAAAATATTTTTATCACAGAAACTTTTCATCTAACCATGAGGATAAATTTACACAAACGATTCCAGATCTTCAGCTCAATAAAAAAGCTACGTAGGAAAAATATAATCAGGCTCTAATAAATTTCAATTTGCTATTTTGTGTTTAAAGGGTTAATCTAAAATTGTCATTTTTTTAAAGATTCATAGCAAAATAAAGCAATTACTTTTTTGTATTTCAAGTCAAGATCAATACCATGAAAGAGCAATTGCTGGCGAATATTACCAAAGGTATATTAAAGGCTTTTATACTCAATTTAATGCGTAATTGATAATTTATAATTTATTTTAATTTCTGAAATATTTGAATACACTATATAATATTTGATGTATGTCGCATATATAGCATTTAAATAAGTTAAAAAATATTAATAACATACTTTTAACTTTTTCTGAGAATATTTTAGCTAACTACTTTCTGTGCATGATCTTCGCTAAGTTATAGTATTCAGGACTGTTAAGTAGTACTTAAAACTGTAAGTAAAAATAACGTAAGGTAATTAATAGGTGGAAACAAATATTATGTTGGGGTTTAACATGATAAGCGTTAAAAATAGTTAAAAATGATATTTTTTTCTCTCTTACGTTGTTAATCTTTCTTCTACTATATGATGGAGATAATCGAGACAAAATTTAAATATTTTTTTCGCTTAATTATTTTATTGTGTTTGAAATTTTAAATCGATAAATGTGCTTTAAAGTAATTATTTTATCACAAATGTTATATTTCCGATAACAGTTAAGCGAAAATAGTATTTCATACAACACCTGATGCTTACCTTGGTTTGGTAGGGTATTTTATGGCTTTTCAAATTGTTTTGTTGTTTTCGGTCTGCCTTTAAAATGAAAGTAAAAAAACAATCTGAGTAAGTTAATTACTTTATATTTTGCATACTAGGACATGAATATTAAAAGTTTTAAAACTAAACTAAAAACAATCTGTTCAAAAGGAAATTAAACTAAACATCTGAAAACAGATTTCAAACTAATTGACATTAACTACTTATTCTTAATTATTATTCCGTTTAAATATAAAAACTAGTTTTTATTGAATTGTAAACAAATTTAAATAATTTTGAATTTAAGGAGAAGTGTTACTTTTTAAGAATGATATGATAAATTAAACTTTATTTTTTTACATTTAAACATTATATATTTCAAACAATTCATTTTAATCTCTTTAATATCTTATTCTTTTTAGCAATGAACCTTCAAATAGAAGAATTAAATAATCTAAGTAAGTGCAAAACATTTAATTTATTTCTACAAATAAACTATTAGCTATATAAATCATAGTCAAATATTAGATACATTTGAATATTATATATATTGATTGTATTTGAAGATATCACGTATTTTAATTCCTGAATTTAATATCTTTAAACTCCAATATTATCATTTTTAAATCACTTATTTAAATACTTCCGGGTCATAGTATTAATTTATCTATTTATCTTAAAGCAAGGACGGGAACAGATATTGATCGATTACTTGCAATTATATCTAAAGGTAAGTTTATTTTAAACTGATATAATTTTTAAATAACTTTTAAATAGGATTCACAAAATAGCACGAGCTTTCACGATTCTACAGAAAACTCTTTGCTTATATAAAACAATATGGAGTTCAATAGATATTCAGATAATAAATGTTTTTACTAATAAAATTTCTGATTAATTAAAAAAAAATTAATTTATTTTTATTTTTAAATATGGATAATTGGTATTTTACTACATAAATATAATATTGCGTTCTGTTTGAAACACAAAATGCAGAGAATCTGAAAAAAGAGATTTTAAAACAGAGATGGTAAAAATTTCTATCTCTTATTGAGCATTAATAATTGCTGCATTTTATTTAGTTGAATTGGTATAAAACGTACGTTTACTTCAATTTTTAAGAAATTTTATGTTTCTTAGCTACACAGTTACAAACGGAAAAAGTAAAAAATAAAAGAAAAAGAAAATAATTAAAATTATTATTTTTAGTCACATATATGCACTTTGAAGTAATTTTAAAATAAATGCATCGAAACTAATATTTTACTTTTAGCAGGAAAATCACTTTCAAAACCTCATTTCCCCAAAATTATCTAACGTGCTCATTTATTTATGGTGCCGTAACACTATAACACCTAAGTTACTTTAAAAAAATACAGTTTAATTTAAATTTAGATTGAATTATGAGGCTACGGGATATTTTGATATCAATCTAACTTAATTTTAACTTGCTTAAATTGAATGTTTCAAAAAAAATTTTAAGTGACATAACCTTATTTAAAATCTATATGTTTGCTTTCAAGACCGGCACATTGAATGTCCTTAAAAAACCGTAAATATATATTCATACCTCATTTCTAAGCCCTTGAGACTTTCAAGTAACTCAATTAATTCCTTAGATATGATATAGTAACAATGATATGAAATAAAATTTCACTTCATAAAATAAAATTTCACAAATATTCACTAAAAGAGAGCGACATCAAACTATAGAAATATAAAATTGCAAGGATGATGCTAAGTTAAAAAATTTCAAATAGCGTAAATATATTTTCTATTAAAAACAGATTTAATACATTTTTCCAACTAAAAGTATAACGGGAAATAGTGTTTTTAAACAAACAGTAACATCTCTAAATATTTTATTAATAATTCAAAATCTCCTACAAGTTCATATGTAATCAAATGATAATAAATCATTGCAACGAAAATAAATTTTTGTCATTTCAAAATAATATTTCAGAATTTTCATATTCAATTTAATTTAATTTATATTATAGCAAAAGGTAAAAAGAAGACAGAAGAATGGCTAGCCTTCTTTTTAAAAGGTAGATACCAACTTAAATTTTGATAAATTAAAAACATTTAAGAAATTTAATAACTTTATTAAATATAAGAATATGATTAAAAATGTATTTCAGAATAATTAAGAGAATTTAATAATTTTGAAATATTTCATCTCTATAATTCAAATTTTTATATTTTATATGTAATAAGCGAAATGTAAATAAATAGATTTCTATCTTTAAGGTCTAACGCAATTTTATTTCTTAGTTGCATTTAGTATAATTTTTTTTGGAAGTATTCACAAAGAGAGGATGAACTATAGCAATTGCAATTATAAACAAATTTTTCTTGATAAAATTGAATTCTTACTATAATCTAAGTCACTGTTACACTGAAGAGAACATTTTTGAGCTCACTGATAGTAGTTTTTTTTCTTTTTTGGTAAACATAAAGTAGGTAGATACCATCCTCAGTGAAAAAATATTTTCAAAAATTTAAAAACGCCGAAATTCATACAACAATGACAATAGTTAAGATTTAATAAAATTTTATGAATATTTTTCATGTTAAGCGAATTTTTCAACTTTTATACGATTTTATTAAAACAATAGCTTGTATAACTGCTGTTTAATGCAGATTTCTTTCATCAATTAGTTATTTCGCTTTTCTTTTTACTCCATGTTCTCTAAGTTCTCCATGATCTTTTATCGAAAATTCTTTTTAAAATTGCAGTTCTTCCTCATCACTCATGCGAGTGTTAATGTTAAAATTTATATATTCTCAAAACACGAAATGAAATAGGTAAATTATTTAAAACAGAATTAGTGCAAAATTTAAAGTCGCATGTTATATAAACCTTAACTCAATTGGCAAATGTCTCATGGAATATATAGCCTAATTTAAATATTTAATCACGTTTTAATTGGATAATAACAGATAATTTTTGCAAATAAATACATAAATAGTTATTAAAAATGAACGTAATTTTTTCATTATAGATTATATTCAATTATAAACAACACGAATCACTTCTTGATGATTGCATTATGTAGTATTATAGTATAATAATATCGCATTATTATCTACTAGTAATATATCATATAATGTATATAATAGTTATTTCATAATAATATGTTTTTAAAATTAATAAATATGTAGTGGAATTATGCAAAAATTTAATTATTTTAATGTTCTTGTTTTTAAGTGTATTTTCCTATTTCTGTTATATATTTGTTTGTGTTGCTTGTAAAAGCCAGTCTTTTTAGAATATCCAAAACTCTCTAAAATCATGTGAAAATATTTACTATGCCATTACTAATAAACCTTGTTTTTTTGCTATATAGCAATGCAACTACAAAATGAAGATACAAAAATTCAAAGTAAGATAATTTTTATTTCGATATGCTTATTTTATTTACTTTTTATCTGAACACACACAACAAAAAAGTATCCTTTAACAATGGTACAGAAATTTCCATAATTCATAACTGTAAGTCTAATAAAGTTTAAGATTATCATAAAAAGTTTATCACACACAAGACTATCGCATTTTATTCTATAGTATTCCTTGTACAGAAAAAGTGAGAAAAAAATAACAAAAAGTTACATCATCTAACTCCCGTTCAGTTGTTGTCTTACAAATTGGAATTTCATTAAAATAAGTAAAGAAATTGAAATAATAGTATATATAACCTAAGTTATATTCTTAAAAAAATATATGTTGTGTCTCAGCTTGCTGTGCAGCCCACATAGTATCGTTTGAAATTATTTTATGGTAAATTATTATCGAACACATTATCAAATATAAATTTTCTATGACATTGTATTTCTTGTACACTTCAACACATCTTAGTTGTTTCAAATTTCTAAGTTCTCTTGAACATTGAAAACACCAGCGAGGGCTGATCTTATATTTTTTTAATGTAAGAGCTTTCGTTAACAAAAAAAATTCAGCTTAATTTTTACTATTCATTTATACCAAACATATTAAATATCTCAAATATATATATTTTGAATTTCCCTAAGTGAGTTATATTTCATCAAAACTATACAGTATAGCTGCTTAAAACGATGTATAGTTGAGAAAAGTATTTCATAGTTTGGTTTTTTAATATTAGCTCGAATTTAAAATGATGAACTTGTAATATTTATTTTAAGTATATAATTGAGTATGTGTTTTATCTCTCATATTAGACAGATTTTATATAACAATATGTTTTCCTATTAATGCTATTATTGCCTCACAGCACAGGCCATTTTTAAGATAAAGGTAAAGGAAATTAGGTTAACGTGAACTGTGTTTATTAAGTGCAATAATTGGGAAAAAAAGAAAACCTTAATATTTAATAATTGTTTTTTTTTAACCTTTTTGGATGTATATAAATAAAATACAAGTAATTTTTTTTTCAGAAAAAGTTAGAAAAAAATCAAAAGAATTCGTTAAAACTAGAATTAAAATATTTTATCAATCAAAATATCGGGATTAAATGTTCTTTCATAAAATTATGCATTATTAATCTGATGTTTTTCAAATGTTTATTGTTATAAAATATTTACGGAACTCATGACTTAAATTTTTAAATTTATAGTCAATAATGACGAAGAAAGAGAAAAACTATTTGTCAATATAACTCAAGGCAAGTATTTATTCATGCATTCAAATTTTTTTTAAATACTCAAATGTTCATAATTCGATTCTTAGTGTAGAATTCAATTCTTAGAATTTTAAGATATTGAGAAAATTTCTGCTTAGAAATTTATATGAGATTTTCACCAGCTCTTTGATACTTTTGCATTGCTATTTTAAAATCCGCAATGGACAACTGCTGAATGATATTTTTAGTCTATTTTTGTTGAAATGCACAAGTTTTAATACGTAACGTTATATGCATGATGTTGAAGAAATGTTGAGGCGAATTTCCAGAAAATTTAGGGCACATCCTCAGAAATAAAATTGCGTAGAAACCCAAGTCTGGATATGTCGTCATGCATCACTATGGGAGATTCCCTATTATGAACTGTTTCTTCATGTGCTTCTAAAAAGTTGAAAAGAGGCCCTATCATATCCATTGTAATTTTAATCTTGATCCTTACTCCTCTAGAATTTTGTTGCAATATTTAAGTGACTCTCAATTATGTAGAGCTTTTTTAAATAATATCGTTTCTACAAAAAAAAAGAGTGAAATGCTACTTAAAAAAATTAGCCTTTGGTGAAAAACAAATAACAGATTTGAAATCCTTAAAAAAAAATCAACAAGATCAAGTATTTTTGTATAAATGTTTTGACAAATTTGTGTCTCAGTATTATTAGCTGGATACTTTTTGCTGGGTCATTCTTATTATGCTTTTAGTTTGGATTTTTGTTTGGAACAGTAGTACTTTTACAAATTTTATATACTTACTTTATTTAAAAACTTTGTTTAATTATAAACATTATTTTACTGCATTATCATGAACATTTAGTTTAAAATTTAAATTAATAATGAAAAATTTTTTAAATCTTAATGTTTAATAAACTGTTTAATTAATTATGCATTGATTTTTAATTAAAAACATCAGTGGTAGAAAGGGCAAAACTAAAATGTCTGAACATAAAAATCGATGCATAAAAAATCAAGCTTATGCGTAGAGATTTTATACGTATTGAAAAGGTAATATCTTTCACATTGTTATGGAGTATTTTTTTTTAAATTTCATATTCTTCTTAATTTTTTTGAGCAATTATTTGCATTTTATTTTTCACACTGACATTCATAATTTCCTAAATCTTATAAAATTCAGCTATGTTTTGCATAATTTTAAGATAAAAATTTTAAATTCTTATCTTGTTTTCCAAAATTTTACTGCATTATGTTTAAAAATGTTAATGATCTAAATGTTAATATGCAATATTTTTTTATTTCACTTGAAAGCTGAAAATATTATGAAAAAAAATCAATTGCTGGCAATTCTTACAAAAGGTAAATATGTTATGCAGAACTTCTTTACATCTTTTTTTGCTTCATAATTTCATAAAATGGAACATTAAATAAAAATATGTTTATTACTTATATTTATTAGTATATACTTAGAATAAATACTGCGCTAATTGCTGAAGTTAGTTTCTATTCTTGAAAAATTTAAGTGTTCGAAGACTTTTACACTTTCTTGAATCCCTAGAGTTTGAAAATGTCAGTGTTGAAAAAAATGTTGTATAAATCTGGTATGCGTTAACAATGTTCTTATTTCAATTTTTTTTTTGTAACTAACATGAATCATGCTATTCAAAGGAACCTCATGAAAGGATATTAATTGGGTTGCTAAAACTTCTAACTGTCTCACAATTTAGATTTATTTTAAATACGAATTAATATTATTTTTGCTCTTTGTTTATAATTCAATTATAAATATATCTGCATCAATAATGAGTTGTAAATTTGAATTTTTAGTTTATTTAGTACACAATCATATAATTGTTTGTTTTTAAAATTCTTCATTAAATTAAAGTCAAAATGATAGTTAATACTAACAAAGTAGCATTTTAGTGAAAGAACCGATCAGGACAGGATTTATGAGATAAAAACCGCTTTAATTTTGAGAAGAAACTAAAAAAATTTTTAAAAACTAACCTAATTCTTTATCGTGTTAAAAAAATTCTAATTTAGATAGAAATTGAACACTTTATACAAGAGCATAGTGCAAATATAATTCAATTCAGTTTGTTTTATTAAATTAAATTTACATTATACGTCTATTTTAGTGCAAAATGCAATTAATATTTGCATGTCCTATCTAGATTTATTTTCAAAAAATATAATCTGAAATAAGTAAATTGTTAAAGACCTCTGAGATCACATGAATCTTTGTGATTGTGAAAAATTGATGGATTCGGAAGGATTAAAATTTTTAATGGAGACATTGGGAATTTTAATGAAAAGTCTGTTTTGCAGAGTCTATCAGCATTGATGATTTTTTCTATCATTAAATAATTTTCAATTACAATAACAATCCCCCCCCCGAAAAAAAACGGCGAGACAAAGTAACTGGTTGCTCATTTAATTTGATAATTTATTAATTTAATAATTATTTTTAATTATTAAATTGATAAATTACTAATTATTTTTAATCATTTATAATTTAATAATTTTATAATTGATTTAATTTATTTAATTTTTTAAAGTTGACTTGTCATAGATCGAGTACTTATTTTTAGGTCAAGGACTAAATTTTTTTTCTTCAAATGCTGGTTAATTTCATTCAGAATACTCTCTCCTAAGCCTAGTTTATCCCAAATTTTTGTCCAACTTTCTCTTCGTCTGAATTAGCTTCAAAATTAATAATTTAGCTATGGAATTCAAAATTTGAGGCAAAAACTCCAATTTATATAATAAACTCTTAAATAAGAAACCACGACTATTAGAATTTTTTAATATCACTTAACTAAAAGTAAAACATCCAACTGTCAAATCACAATTAAAAATTTTCCAGAGGTAATATCATTACATTTTTAGAATAGGAAGCATTATTTTAATTATTTTTATTCTCAGGTACGTATTTTGTTGATTCTTTAATAAACTTTAACTATTTTTCTACAAATAAATAATCTGTTTAGTTTTTTTTTTTACATGAGCGCTGAAATGGACGCTGTGCACGTGCTGGACTCCTGATTTATGCACCTTATATTAAACTTATCCCTTTTATAAATCCATTTTTGTACAAATTGAAAGAGTTTAATTTTAATTTTTTATTTATTTTTAATTTAGCTCAACAAATACAAGATGAGGAGTCGAAACAGAAAAGTAAGAAATTATAAAGAGTTCTGAATTTTTGCTTTCTTTTAAAAATAGTATTATTCTTAGTGCAGTTTGTCATTAATATAATTTTGTTTTAATTTTTTTAATTTTTTTAATTTTTGTTTTAATTTTGTTTTGTTTTTGTAAGTTAATTTTTAACATTTCTGTTTCCTGTTTTACAGTACCGAGTGCAGAGTGCACCACAAATATGCAAATTGTTCGTGGAAAAACAATTGTAAGATCAGAATAATTAATAAAATATTTACTCTATTGTGGCCTTAACGAAAATTACAAATCCAGACATTGTGCATCTAAATCTAGAATGCAGCAAATTTTTTTTCAAGATGTCAGAACTAGTATTTGCTAGTTTTAAAATTAGTGAACGATTATCTAATCATACTACTAATTATTAATCAAAAAGTATCTAAAAAGATTTACTAATCAGAAAGTATTTCCTAATTTAATGGAATAATTTCTTATAAATTTGCATATAAATTGTAAAATAATTTTGAAATATGTATTTTACCTTTCTCTTCGTCTGAANGCGAGCTAAATCTTCTTTAATATTTGTTTTTTTTATATGCTTAAAAAGAAGAAAAGCCTTTCATCTAATTTTTCTAAAAATTAAAATTATGATTTCTTTTAAAGTTGAAATTGCAAGAAAAAGATGGCAGCTATTGAATAATATAACTCTAGGTGAGATTTTTTATATTATTAAATTTTTTTTCAAATATTTGAAGTATATTTGAAATTTTTGAAATATATTGGAAAATATCTGATTATATTAGCAAGAAAATTTGTAATACATATTTCGATAATTTTAGAAATCTACTAAAATATAACAAAAAGTTTCTTAAATTGAGAAAGATGGCATCTATGGTATAACAGCAATATAATAATAATGAAGTATGTCTGTTATTTCCAATAAATCGAAAAAGAATAATGTAGGCTTTAATGACTTACAGGCTTTCTTTCTAATTAAAATGAACTTTAGGTATCTCGAAATTTAAAATTAGGTTATCGAAATTTAAAATTATTTTCACAGAAATCGAGTACCAAATTATAAAAGTTAACTTTAATTGCACCAGCGATAATAAGTTTATTCAAATCTCTTGCGCATGATCACATATTTTCCTATCTCATTTTTTTGTATTGTTCAATAATATTTTATTAAAATTAATTTAAATAATTCATATTTTAATAATACTTCATATTTTATACTTTTTTAAAAAATACCTAATTATTTTAAAGACATAAGCTTTGTGGGTGAAAATATCGAACAATTTTCTTTTNATATTTCAATCTTAATATATAAGATTCAACTAATATTCAAATAAAATTATTATATAAATTTTTTCTGTAATTGGTTTTGTTATTTTTTTTAAGCTATTGAACTTCAAAAAGAAGAATTAAAGAACAAAAGTAAGCATTAAAAGGTTTAAAGAAAAATTCATTGAAATTCGATTTAAAAATACACATAAATATGTAATAATGATTTTTTTAAAGCCGAGGGAGAAGAAAAGAAGAATCAGTTGCTTGCAATTATCACAAAAGGTAGTCAGTCATTATCAATATCTATATGTTTATTAACAATATTTATTTTTAACATTTTTTGAGCATCTAAGTATAATTTTTGTAGTTAAAATTGAGTAAACTGTTGAAAAAATATGTAATTAAAGGCTCATTTATTGTGCAATTTTTACGAACAAGACCCTTTTTTCAAAGAAAACGGTAGCGTCTCGTGCATTTATGTTATTAGTGTATCACTGTAGTGTTCTAGAATATTTTTACGAGTATTTCAAATCTCTTGGAAGACAATCTATTGGAGCATCAAAAGTACTTTACTAGTTTCTTTTAATATTCTTCTTTATTCTTTTAAGTCAACGATGTGGGGTTTAAAGTGGCTTAGGGCTTTGAGCTCTCACTGCAAGGAATAGGATATCAAACTTCAGTGGTAGCAATTTGATATATGGATAAGTAAAGTCTTTCTCTGATTAATGCTGACCACATTTCCACAATCATTTTATTGGTATTGAGATGTTGCTAAATTCTTGACGAATTGCGTTCATTCCTTTTCTTGGGTTCGTCTACGTATCACTTCTTATTTTATGAAATGCTGCTTATTTTACAGATTGATTCGATATTAACAAGAATATAAAATTTTGAAAGAAATATTTTTCAAGGACTTCGCCTGAAATGTCTGCTGACGGTGTTTGTCTGTATTTAAACATGAAATTTTTTCGGCTATAAGACTACGTAATATAAAGCTAAGTCGATAATAGTTTTGTTGATTTTAAATATCTGCGCATGAGGTTAAATTGCAAAAATTTATAACCTCTGTAGTTTTCTAAATGGCTATGTATAACATGAAACATCAACATAATATTTTTAATTAACAATAATAATAACTACAAAATTGATATTCCATGTTATTGTTTTTCCTCTTCATTTTTGTAGAATTATAATTTAATAATATTTGTTGCTAATTGAATATATACAAATACATCAAATACAAAAAGTACGATGTTGAGTACATTTTTTCATTGCTTTTATATTTTAGCTATGAAGCTAAGCGAAAAAGAAAGAAACTTCACAAGTAAGAAATTTTATTCGAAAAGAACTTTTAATTATTAATTATTACATAGTTAGGAGAAAAAAAATGTTTTAGTTTAACGTTTTGTTTCATAATTTTTCAGTTTGACCTAGAATAAAAATTCTACGAATTGAAAAATTATGAAATTTAAATATTTATTGATAATATTAATAAAACAATTTATTGATAATATTCTAAAATAAAATTTAAGATTAAATCTTTTTTGCTGATTCACATTATAAAGTCTTTAATTATAAAGACTTTAATAGTCCTTATAGAATTTATTTTCTAAATTTTTGGAAGGATTTGAAAAAATTATAAGATGCGAAAAGTAGCTTTATCAAACATAATTTTTCCGTAACCTATTTTCATTCGGATAACATTTTGTATTTATTCGTATACTCCTTTTATTTGTGTAACAATTTGAAAATAGTGTGCTATTAATACTTGCAATAAAAGGGAATTATTTTAAGAATAGATACAAAAATTACTTTTCTTATCTCTAAAAGGAACTTTTTCTGTTATGTAAAACAAACTCTATGAATGTAGCTATAAATATAATCAAACTTTTTTTGTTACCGTTTCTCTAATATTTCATAAAGCAACTTCAAAACTGTTCAATGTAATTTTTTAATTTGATGAGAAATTATTTTCTCAGATCAATATTTCAATCTTAATTGTCAGTAACTTTAAACGTGAGTATAAAGTGAGTATAAATAATAAATAATTCTGAGTAATTATTTAATATTTAAATAATATTAATTTTTGCAAAATACTGCTGCTACTGTTGCTACATTTCAGCACCCAATTAAATATGCAAAATAAAAAAATTATTAAAACATGCGAAATAGTTCGTGCTTTAAAGAACCAAATAAATGTACCAAAAGAAAGTTTAATAAACAATTTTTATAAGTGCATTTGAAATAAGACACAATTTTAAATCAGTACTTGTAATAAACAAAGTCAATTTTTTATTGAAGTTCAACTTTCAATATGGTTTTAATTTTGTCTTTACTTTCAAAGTTAATCTTGAAAGGAGAAGAGATAATCTGCTTAGGAATATTACTTTAGGTAAGTATTGCTTAAATATTAACTTTGAATAAATAATTTAATATATAAACTTGAGACGCGTATGCTATGCCAAACATAACAGTTTTGTATTCTATTGAAAAGTACAGAGTATAAAAAGTAAATTCTTGCTTGATGACTAAACCTAAATTATTATTGCATTTGTATCTTAATTTATTTTGTTTAAATATATATAAACAAAATAAATTAACATACAAATGCAGTAATAATGAAAATTCAAGAGAAAAAGTACAACAATTTACATAATTCCAAGTTGCGACAGCGTCACACTGCTAATTACACAAATGGAAGAATATTTTAAGATGAGATAATTTTTTTAGATGAGAAAAAACAAATTAAGTCATTACTTCATAAGAGAACTGAAAGGACTACCGCAATAAGAGAAATCCGAATAACATTAACAGGGAATAACATAATAAGCATTAACTTTTGGATACCTTGAAACACAATCGGTTGCTTCTCTATGTTTCCTATTGATTTATTAAGAGTAATTTAATAATTTTAATGTTTATTTTTTTATTATTTCTTATATTTTTTACATTTTCTTTCGTCTATATCTATAAAAAATGTTTGCTCTCCATCTTTACATGCGAAATCGAACCTGCAACTTTCTAATTTCATCCAAAAATTCTTCTTCACATCTGGTAATTTACGCATTTCCACTTCTATTACGGATTCCCACAAGATTACGGTACACAATCTTGGTCTGACATATTAATCATTTCTTTTGATTCTGTTGCGACAATTGGGGGTTTGGTTGTCAGCTGTAATAAGTATGCCACCGACCGCTGAAACTGTTTCCTCACTGACCACATAGTTTTGCTCCCCTTCTCCTGTCGAAACTGCCATGCACTTCAGTGCCTCCACTTTAATTTTGTTTTAGTGTTTCTGCTTTTCGATTTTTAGGATTCTATAACCTATAACAAACTTTTGAGCATCTCCTTTTGCGGTTTCCCCAAATTACATTTAGTATGTTAGTTCCAGTTAAGTTTTCTCGCATTTATCTTATTGCGTTTATCCTTTCAGTTCTCTTAACTTACTGTGCTTTAATTCTATATATAAAGGTTTAAAGAAAAATTCAT